AAGAGATAGGGATAATGTGAGATCTCACATCGGTCGGGGATGAGAACGAAGCATTCTTTATAAGGGTGTGGAAACCTCTCTATAGCAGACGCATTTTAAAAACCTTGAGGGGAAGTCCAAATAGAACAATATCTGCTAGCGATGAGCTTGGATTGTTACAGATAACCTCTTGGTATGGCATAGGTGGTCTCTGTTAATATGGCTCCAGGATCCCTAATGAGGCAGGTGAAAATGGTATCAGTAGCCTAAACTCACTCCTAATGAGAAATTTTAGTCATTAAAATCTAACCATACATTAATGGATGTCTGTTGCAGCAAGAGATGCTCCATATGCAAAAGCTAGGATCCATTCATCCCGTGATATCCAGATGTCAAAACATAATCAAGGCCATACAAGGACTCCCACTGAAAACGGACGCTTGATTCCATGATTAAACAATCAAAACTGCATCATTGAGCTAGCTCCTTGGTATGGCTGCTTCAAATTTGATCGAAGATCAAGTAATGGATCCAAGTGCTTCGACAACGGTACAGATCGTTGCACCGTTTGTGAGAAAAGCCAATTCTTGTACATTGGTACCATTCTATACTCCTTATTACTTGAACCAGGAGATGGGAAGAATTTTGCAGAACAATAGAGAAACTGGTAGCATACAGAAATGATGAATATAGTTATTAAAGGTTTCTGTAGGATTCAGTGGCGGACTACTCTCAGACCCACCAGCAAAGGTTGAGGTAGAGAACCCATTTTCTTTATATTCCCCTGTCCCTAATTGTAACTTCATCCCATTTTTTTGCATTCTACATGCTGAATCTATACAATTGCGTACCTTTCTGGCTTATATGAATACAATAATGTGTATCTAAATCGTTACATTAGAAAGGTTTCTTGTTATCTTTAACTGTTAGCTTCTATAATTACTAAAGCAGGTAAATGGAAGGGTGGGAAGGCATATTGGAGTGGACAAAACATTTTACCATTTATCCTCCATGTAAGTTCATTTCATTTACTGAACAACAAAGGCCTTAAAAAGGGGATCCAGACGTCAGTAAGCGCTGAAATGGCCTTACTTCCTTGTCTTGAATGACATAAAAGCTACCAAGAAAGAAAAATAAATAATAAAGTGTGTTAGACGAACATGACTCCGCTCTGATACCATGTTAGATGAACATGATTCTCCACAATGGTATGATATTGTCTACTTTGAGCATAAGCTTTCACGACTTTGTTTTGGGCTTCCCAAAAGGCCTTATACCAATCGAGTCAGTATTCCTCACTTATAAACTCATGATAATTTTCTAAATTAGCTAATATGAGACTTTCATCATTCAACACAGTGAACCCCATTATTAAAAAAGTTTCGTGTTATGGAAATAGTGTTTCTTACTTATAAACCTATGAAAGCCTCCCTTGAGGTCTTGAAGCTCTCGAACAACCTCCACTTAATCGAAGCTCAACTTTTTCTCAGAGCCCTTAAACAAAGTATACCTTTTATTCTACACTTGAGAATTCTATCTCTGATATCATGTTAGTAACCACAACCTTCTACAATTGTATTGATATTATCCACCTTAAACATAAACTCTCATGATTTTTCTTTGGTTTCTCGAAAAGAACTCGTACCAATGAAGATAGTGTTAGCCGGGGTAAAAATGTAAAAGGTAAGGAAAAGAAAGAAGGCCCAGTCCGGCCCAATTAGAAGGTGTCCCCTACGACTGAGACACCAGTTTAAAAAGGGTCCACGTGTGGCGATTTGTCTGACAGTTCAGAGCCCCAGTTTCCCACATAGTTTGTCAGGCGCCGCTCAGCCCCCCATTCGTAGGGCTTACGTCATCTTCTTCACGTCTAATCACCCGGCGTCTCCCTCCTTATCAAATCTCTCTCATCCGACGGCTCACATTTCACACGCTTCTAATTCCTAATATTTCTGCGTATTTATCCCGTCGTCTACCCGCCGATCACGGGTGACTTCCTGGCTTCTTCTTCTTCTTCTTCTTTTTACACTCTTAATTCCGTTTCCTTGTCGATTCCCTCCTCCGCCATGGCTTCCACTCGCGACGGTCACTACAGAGGCGTCCGGAAGCGCCCTTGGGGTCGCTACGCCGCCGAGATTCGCGACCCATGGAAGAAGACCCGTGTCTGGTTGGGTACTTTCGACACCCCTGAAGAAGCCGCCCTTGCTTACGACGGCGCTGCTCGCTCCCTCCGCGGTTCCAAGGCTAAAACTAACTTTCCTCTGCCTCTCTCCGCCGCCGGCCTCTGTTTCGACCTCAACGTTTCTCGACCCACTGCTTCACCCTCCTCCACCTCCTCCTCCTCCTCCTCTGCTCGTCTTCTCCTCGGTGATTTTCTCCGCCATGGCGCTCCTCGCCACAAGATGTGTAATGTGGATGTCGAGGTGTCTCCGGTGCTTGTCGATTCCAGCGCTCCGACGCCGCCGTCCAGTACGGCGTCGTTTATTGGGCATGTGCGGCGTGTTCTACCCTTTGATCTCAATGAGCCTCCGCCGGTGTGGCTGTGATTCATTGAACGAAATATCTTCCACGGCGTCCACCGGCGTTTTTTACGGACTTCTCGCTGTTCTTTTTTACCGGTCCTCTGTATCCATTTTCACCGCTACATTTCAAGAAAAAAAACCCATTAAACCAAAAACTAAGATATGTAAATACAAGTTCTAGGTGGACATTGATTCATTGTTTCATGTAATAGATAAATTAGAGATGTCTATTTAATCGGAGAATCATAAAAATGCTATCTTGCTTGTGCTTTTTCGTTTTTTTGGTAATGAGAGGATTCTATTAACATGGTCTGATCAAGTTTAAAACATGATTCTGATATCTCGTTAGGAATCACTAAAGGCTCATACCAATACCAATGAGATAGTAATGCTTATAGAATCATGATCTAAATTTAGAACCAATATCTTCTACTAGATGAATCAATGTGGAACTTATTCCTTCTTCTTTTATAATAAAATAATGCAATAACACTAAATAATATGAACATCTAAGAGAATACCGGTGTTTTTTTTGTAGAAATATTTATTTAATATGTAGCGATTTCATGATATTAGTTAGTGTGGATAAGAAATCGAGAGAATTTTCTCTACTAACTAAAAAGAAACATCATCCCTATAAATTTATATAAATAAATTTATTTTAATTTTATAAAAAATAATTGATATAATTCAAAAAAAAAAAAATAGAGAATGAAATAGGCAGATAAGATTGAATTATTTTTTTTTAGTATAATTATTTTCTGAATAATCATTTGGTTCTTTGCAATTTCAGCACCTTAATTATTTTATCTAATTTACCCTCTCTCCTTCTCCCCACGCGCTCTCTTCGCGCGTGTAATCCACTGCTCTCAATTTAATCAGCTCACTAAATTTTTAATTTTCTCCCATATATTTCTTATTAATTAAGTTTATGCCAATTGACTAATTCCTTACTTAAATAGGTTTTGGTGTATTGTTTTTAATTATTTTTCTATATTTAATTCAGTATTAATGTGTAATTAAAATTTTTAATAAAAATAAATTATTAATTTAGCAAACTGTAATTAAAATTTTCGAATGATGGGCCCACTGGATATAATTAGACCAGGAAATGAAGGCAATTTTCACGAAAAAAACGAGACCAAAATGGAAATTCATTAAATATATATTTTAAAAATAATAATAATAATAAGTCAACAAAATTTGCAAGGGCAGTTGGACGGCGGCTTTAAACATTTATTATTATTATTATTATTATTATTATTTATTTATTTTAAATATGGATAAACGTTGTTCACGTTCATTAAATAATGAACCGGGGGGAGAAGGTGAATAATGAAAGGAGTTGGGGGGGAATGTACAAATAGGAAGAAGTTAGAGGACTGAACTGAAAATAAAAAAATGGCGTCATCATAAATACTGCGACCACCGCACCACCTGCACTTTGCCCAGCCGTCATTTCAACCTCTTTAAAGGAATTCGAGAGGATGAGAGGGGCCCAGTAGGGGAACAGGCTGGTCCCATGCCTACTCACCATTTAGCCTGTCGGTAGCAGTGAGGTCACGGCGGCGTAAGCGTGGCCAAACAACCAAACACGGCGTCGCCGCCGTAAGTGGCAAGATTTGTATTTGTTGATGGGACAGTTCCGGCTTCAACTCCGTCGTCTCGTTAGCCGATTCCAATTCTATTGCTTTATATTTTATTCCCTTAAAATATGTTTGTTTTCGATGTAATAATAATAGGGTCCATGTTCGAAATTTGACTAAACCATAAACTCGGTCCAACAACAGAATAGTGATGGTACGACATTTGTTCTAATTCAACAAACAAGTCAACAGTGAGAATTTCAGACTTCATAGACAACATCAACACATGCTCAAATCTCGAGTCTCATTCACGAAAGATGTTTTTAGAAAATGTGATCCTAAAAGGAAGTAATGTTATAAGCTAAAAGTGATTAGACAACAACAGCTTTGATAGTATATAACCTAAGTAGAAAGAAGTGACAGCTAGTCATATCTTCTATAGTATATTTTGGAGAATTTCAGCTATAGCAGGTATAGACGTGATTTTGGTGACCGATTATACACTTTGTATTGACACAACATGAAATAGTAAAGGCTTTATTCAAAATGAAAGCATGTAAAAAAGAGTTTGGAACAAGAGTGTGGCTCATGGATATCACATCCTAGACAAACATGATTTGGACATCTGATATGCAGCCATAAACAACACACCTTGAGCAAGCATGACCGTGACAGAAAAGGAGAATCCCCAGTGCCATCTCAAGGCTAGACCGTGGGAATGTTTAGTCCAACTGTTTACACTAGCTGCTGACTGTTGACTCATTCCTAATACATAGAACAAACCTCAAATTCTTCTTTTTATGGCTAAAGCCAACCCCTTCAAACCATTGACATTCTTGGCTACAGCAAGTTAAGGCCCATGTCATTTCAAGTGGTCTATAACATAATTAAGAATTTGCTTTTGACACAGTCAAAGTAAACAACATCATTCATTCATATCATAATTGATATTTGATCATTCATTCCCCCTTTTACTGATTCATAACATTTTAAATGAGCCCGCCGCAGTCTCACTCGTCGTGTACGGCGGGGTTAGCCGAGCAGCAGCAGCAGCAACAGCAGCAAGCAATACGCCTCAATGCGGCCCCTTTGCTGCTTTGCTTTATCCTCTGTTAGTCAATACGGTGGGCCATCTCCTGTCCTTCCAAAAAGCTAACACGAGCTTCTACTGCACTGCAAACAACTTACTTCCCTGCCTTTTCCTTTTCCAGTGGCTGCTTTGGTTTCCCACTGGTCCTCTAACCACAACATAATCAACAAAGTATTATAACCAAACCCAAATCATTCATTTTTTTCCTTTTCTTCTCATCAACTTCACAGAAGACATGAATAAGTTTGGACCGAATTAATACGAGTTCACATACAACTGTTATGAACGGGATTGTGAAACTCGTTTCTCAGCATAGACGATACCTTTCAATAAACTTGCAATTCAACTTTACAAATATATCAGAACCAGAAGGCTTTTACCTTGTAAAAAGGGATTAAAAGAGGGGAGAATCGAGCATTCAAGACACGTCGACTCCACATAAAAATCTTATGATATCATAGATTATGGTCATACAACACTTTGACATGTATGCTTCAATTTCCTTATTCTGAGAAACTCACTAAGGATTATCCATATCGCTTGAACTAGGATAAGCCTCTCCATTTAAGTCTTCCATCATCTCCTCAACTATTCTCCATCTGTCAAAGGAATGAATAAACCCAGGACTAATACCACATTTATAGCAAACCTTATGTTATTTGGAAAGTTAAGAGAATGAAAATGTCCGACTACCTCTCAAGAACAAACTTCCCTTCCTTGTACTTTTGATATTTGTCATGTGTAGTTACCTAAGTGCAGCAACATCAGTTAAACAAATCTAAGACTGCAAATCAACAAAATTTAAGAGAAAAACTTTTCATATGAACACACAAACCATCAAATGATTTTAGACACGATACATAAATTACACTATTATCAACTCTAGTTCAATGTAATTTTTTTAATGATTTCAAGCATATTTTTTTAATGTACGTGACTGTCCAAACTAGCTTGCGCACCTCAGCTATTTTCACAAGATAACCACTTCACCCTACTACATTTAGCTATCTTTCTTATGGTTAAAATTAAACTTGGTTTTATTCCTATATTGTAACAGCTCAAGCTCACTGCTAAGAGATATTGTCCTCTATGGGTTTTCCCTTTTGGGTTTTCACTCAAGGTTTTAAAACGCATCTACAAGGGAGAGGTTTTAACACACTTATAAGGAATGCTTCGTTCCCTCTCCAAGCAATGTGGGATCTCACAATCTACTCCCCTTAGGGGCCAACGTCTTTGCTGGCACACCACTCAGTGTCTGGCTCTGATACCATTTGTAATAGCAAAGCCAACCGCTAATAGATATTGTCTTCTTTCCGGTAGTTGCACTATTGGTGGCGCGATTCTGCGCCATGCCCCCTCGACTACTTTGCCCTGATCCAGACACTATGTTCTCATCCTGGCATCTCTTGTGAGGGCAATCAACCTTCCTGTGACCATCTAGTCGTAGTGGAAGCACGCGTCAGTGCCTCTCCTACACTCCCCCGAATGACTAGTACCGCAAAGTGGGGAAAATAGGTCTCTCTACGTTGGGGGCCTCAATTTTAACGCCCTAATGTCTCTCTGTTGGAGGTGGCCTATGCGATCGACTTTTACTCCCGTACCACGATGACCTGTCTGACCGCTCATTCCATTCTCTCTTACCCTGAAAATTCCTCTGATCCCCAGATTTTCTAGATGCTTTCTGCAATAGAGCATCCATCATGGTGGCTGCATGGAGAGCTGCTGCATAAGTGGCAGGTGCAATAGCCCCCACGGTGCTCTATATCTCAAGTCTCAGCCCTAATATGAGCTTTTGAACCATCTTCTCCTCTGTGTCCACATACTCTGGGCAAAAACGTGACAACCATGGAAGAAGATCCGTGTCTGGTTGGGTACTTTAAATTCCCACCACAACATGACCCGTGTCTGGTTGGGTACTTTAAATTCCCACCACAACATGACCCGTGTCATGGAAAATTGTAGCTCACAGGCTAACAATTCAAAACATAACATAACCCACTCGAAACACAAAAGCTATTTAAATTCCCACGGCAACTAACTGCTGGACCTGTGAATTAATTTCTTTGCCCCTTCTAACATATGTATGCAATATTGAGGGTCTAATAGAATCCATGTCCACTCTTAATAGATTATTACTACTGATGATACATTTGATACTTGAGGGCATCAAACGAACGTTTTCTCACCTAAACTAGTTTCAGGATCTTCATATTATAAGTTCGAAAGTTGAAATATGCAAAGGATAGGTAGCTGATAACAGAACCACACACTGAAATATACAAGTTATAACTAGCTCCTTTGACCGTTCAGCCAGTTCATCATGATTCCTATTGAAAAGTTTTCAGTTCTATTGCATAGATAGTCAGAGAAGAAAGCTTACATATTTCCATCCAAGAAGTTCTCCGCAACAGCAACAAAAGATATCCTCCACGGTGTGCATACCAGAAAGCATCAACCTCTCCTCCTTAGGTCCAGATGTTACATTCACTCTGGAAAAAGGTAAAAGTATTTCAATGTATGTAAAATCTAGATGCGAGATCAGAAACAGATCAAAATAAGGTCATTTCATCTCAATCTGTAGACCAGAAATGCCAATGAGGAGGAATAAGAAAAAAATTGAGGATAACTAACAATTGTACAAGGCAATTTAAAATAACAACAATCTAGACATTTGGATTTGAAGCTCATTAAATGATGCCTCCCAAATAATCTAGACATTTGGATTTGAAGCTTGAAACTAAAAATTTAAAATAACAAGGCCACTTACACGCTGTTGAAAAGGAACGCCCTCCCTTGGCTGCAATTGAAAGTCTGGAACAATAATAGAACAATAAAAATTCATCAAAATTGAACAATATTAACTTCATGGCCGATTAAACAAAAAAGAGCGAAATACATGCACAATATTATGATAATAATCAACACAATGATTAACCGGTATATATTAACTTCAAAAATAGGAAATTGATAGAGATATCACTGGAGCAATTAAACCAGCAACCTATTATACAAAAAGAAAGCATAACGATTATACAAGCCAAAACAATCCATCTTCATGCAAAACTACAATTCAAGGACTAAATAAACTCCCGATTTCACTCCAATTTGTTCAGAAATCCAATTCCACAATCTCAACAAACAAAACTCTAGCATAGCAGTGCGAAATTAATCGCTGAGGAATCAAAAACAAGATCGAGGATTCGGAGAGCAAAAACAAAAGGATTAAATATAGAGTGAAAGTACCCGAGAGAGGATGTCATCGGCAAGAGCAACATTGTTATTGCAGTAGCGGCAGCTATAAGACCTGCCTTCCAATTCAACGAGAAAAACCCTACCCATTTAAACCCTAAAATCCCAAATTCAAGACCTAACCTCTCACAATCTCATACTCAATTATTCCTTCCCCCTTTCATCCACTGAAAATCCAAGTTTCAAACTCCAAAACATCGGCCTGCCTGCTCGGTTTGCCAAATGTCAGTAGCCGTTTCCTTCCAACTACGGGAACCGGTAAATACCGGTTCCTCCTTTCTTCTCCTTCTGAGTCTAATTATGGGCTTGAGCCCAGTAACCTCTCAGTCCACTGAAAATCGGCCCAAACTCTTCCTCTTATTTTATTTATTTATTTATTTTCAGAATTTGTGATTAAAATCTTAATTGATGTGTATTTCTCTTCAAATTTATTATTAATTATCATCCTAAAGATTAATGGTTCAATCTTGCTCCCGGTCTTCTCTAGAAGAATTTCTTCAATGTTGTTCAAGTCTAGTAATGTTTCGTTCTCTAAATCCAAGTCTGGTAATGCTTTCTTGTCTAAGCGTCACCCTGCTTCCATTGCACCATCATGTGATTTGAACATTCTGAATCACTGATCTAGTCATCCTCGTGCTCGATATACTTTCTCATCATCTTCGAGACATAGTAGTGTAAATGTTAGAACTCTTAAAATATTTTAAGCTATATAAAGTCATGTAGCTGTTATTGTCTGATACCACTTGTCACAATCGCACTTTTGATGACCACGTACTTGTCGTTACTCACTTCCCAGCAACAAATAAGTTAAGTCAATTCGTTCTTGCATCGCCTACGGCCATATGACTATTCTCGAGACTCTGGCCCCGATTAAGGAAGAAAAATTTAGAAAACGAGGACATAGAGATTTCGAAAGAGATTTTTTAGAATAAAATTTGAAATATTGAAATTTCTGTTATATATGATGCAAGCAATAACAACTACGTGTAATTTAAGTTGCATAATTTGATGCTCGAATCAAATCTCAAATAAATTTTTTTATCTTCAGATGATCATCGATGAGATAATCCAAATTGTGAAGATGAGCACACACAAATGAAACTGAAAAACAGTAAAATCAAAATCGTTTGGCATTGGCTATCCATATAAACAGAAATCCGCCATTTCCGAAGCTGTGAGTGAAGAAGAACAGAACACAGAGATTGGAAAGAACAGAGTACTACGTTAAACCACACACCAAATTCGTGTTTTTCTGCTCTTCCCCTCCATTTCACTAGATCCCACCACTCCCCTCCGACGTGTCCTTTTTCCGGCGCCGGCGATCTGGGCTGCCTGAGCTTTTCTCGACCAATTACGGGGAAAGCAAAGAGACATTTTCAAATTAAGAACCTATATTATATTCCTCTGCTACACGTGTATTAATTTACATGGAGATTAAAAAAAGGCCGTTCCGATAATTCATCGCCGTCGTAAAGCCTAAGCGGATTCCGGTGGTGGGAAATTGAGATCGAGATCTAGAACTACCGGTCTTGATTTGTGGTGGTCGTTTTGGTTCAGATCAATAACAGAGGATGAATCAGAGTCACTCTGAACTCCGCCACTCGCCACTACCTTCTGCCGGTGGCGATCAAAAATCACACCCGATTGATGATTTTGAATACTAAAAATGGGATGATCGAAGAACAGGAGATGATTCGGCGGCGGAAAAATCCCACCTCCGAATTGAGGATGATTGAACGGAAACGCCGGTCTAGATCCGACGGCGTCATGATTCAGGTCAAGAATTGGGTCACGGCTAGAGGATTCAACGGTACTACTCCGGCTAGGACTGAGATTAAGATCATTAACAGCAACGGTAAAGGGGAAATTAGTTTTAGCCTTAGCGCCGCGGAATTGGCGAGCGGCGGCGTCGTAAGCCCTCGCCGCCTCCTCCGCCGTGTCAAATGTGCCTAACCAAACACGGGTTTTCTTTGCTGGATCTCTAATCTCTGCGGCGTATCTTCCCCACGGCCTCTTCCTGACGCCTCTAAAATGCACCTCCTTGTCCTTGCTGCCGGCAACCACCACCGCCGCCGCCTTAAGATTGTCCCTTGGCGCCATAGATTACGTAGTTGATGGAGAAAATGGCGATGGTATTGATTTGCTTTGTTGAAAGATGAAATTGGAAAGGGAAGGATTTGGGTATTTATAGAAGCGGAAATCGGAGTGATGGATTGGAGAGAGAGAGAGAGAGAGAGAGAGAGAGAGAGATGGCGGAGAGTGAAAAGGAAAAGGAGAGATTTTGACTGCTGGGAATGGTGTCCACATGCTACGTGGCATGTAGTAAGCCGACCACGTCATTCAGATCAAACATCATCTGGTTTATTTTGTCGCGTTATCCAACGGTTGATATTCAAAAGAGGAATCCCATGCAAACCATGGAGGCGATGAGAGGGGTAATTTGGGGATTAAGATGAGAAACGTAGGACGAAATTGTAAATATGACACGTTTATTTATTTGTATTAAAAAATAATTTTTGTAAAAGGAAGTGGCGTTTTGTTTGGTTGCGTTGTAATTGAGGCCCCCGCGTTTTGGATGGAATTTGAGGCGCTTGGTGGGTCCCACACAAGGGAGTACCGACCAAGCATTGACGCGTGTTTCTGTTTCCTTATTCGTCGCTAATGGACATCCTCGTAACCTCACGCCACGTCATCCTACCATGGGTTCTGCTACTCTCACCCCATCACTCTACCATCCACCTTCTACATCACCGCACCTTTCCCACTCCTCAACAAAAACATCTCAATTTCTCCTCAATTATGTTCACATTCCCTTTTTTTTCTATTATCACGACCGTTAATAATAATGGCCGGATGATGAAAGTTCTATATCGGCTAATTTAGGGAATGATCGTGACTTTATAATCAAGGAATAATCTCTCTATCGGGGGTGAGGCCTTTTGGGAAACCTCAAAGGAAAGCCATGAGAGCTTATGCTCAAAGTAGACAATATCATACCATTGTGGAGAGTCGTGTTCGTCTAACATGGTATTAGAGTCATGCCCTAAACTTAGTCGTACCAATAGATTAGTAAATCCTCAAATATCGAACAAATAACTCCAAAAGAAAAGGAGCCAAATCTTCTTGAAGGCAGTAAAAAATGACTAAGACTCCAAAGGAGTCGAACCTCGATTAAGGGAAGGTGTTGGATGATGAAAGTCCCACATCGGGTAATTTAGGGAATGATCATGGGTTTATAATTAAGGAATACTCTCTCTGTTGGAGCTTGGGGAAGCCCAAAACAAAGTCATGAGAGCTTATGCTCAAAGTGGACAATATAATACCATTGTGGAGAGTCGTGTTCGCCTAACAATCACGAGTATATAAGTAAGATATATATTTTGATTATGTCATACAATTACAGAGATTCGTTGTTCTACCAAGAGTATTAGAGACATGATCTTATATTCACTTAGTCATGTCAATAGAATCCTCAAATGTCAAACAAGCAAGTAATGAGTTTTGAAAGTGGAGTCATAGTGAAGATCCGTGGTGATCTAGAGAAATGAGTCGTCTAGATAGTGCAATACGGATAAATAATTAGTATAAAGCCTTTTGGAAAACCAAAATTAAAGTTACGATAGCTTATGCTTAAAGTGGATAATATCACATCATTGTAGATGTTCTTTGTTTCTATCACTTATTGACATCCTCACGTGTCAAATAAATAAGTACTTAGCACCAAAAGTGAAGTCATTGTAAAAATCTTGGTCTCTAGAGAGTCGTTGATAGTACTAGACAGATAAATCAAAAGTAAAGTCATTGTATAAATCAATTTCCAAGCACGGAACCGAAATGAAATATAATTTTAGTAAAAAATAAAATAAATTAACGTAGGAAAAAGCATAATCTAATTTTAGGAATAAAAAGGAGGGACAAGACGTTAATTAATCAAATTGATTATGTTATTAAGCATTGTTAAACACGTTTATGGGTTTAGGCGTCAATAACTGAGTGGCGGCAACCATTAAATTATTGGTAACTAAATTATTATAAAATGTATTATTTTCTGTTTTATTTGGATTTTATGATTATTTTTAATACTTTATAACAATTTGTGAAATTCTTTACGAAATCAATTAACAATATTATTTTATTTACTTCAATCCTTAAATTATACTTTTTATATTCTTATAAGAAAACAAAAAACAAAAAATAGATATGAAAATAACTATATTAATTAACTAACTTTAATAATAGAATTGTAAAAGTGTTCCTGTTTTATAATATATATATATATATATATATATATATATATATATATATGTTTTTTTTTTAAAATCATATATTTTTTAAAATATTTTGAATTTTCCCACGTTTTCATGCCCTAGCTTTTGTTTAGATTATCTGGTCACTTTCTCATAATATTTTGTTTTTTTACTGTATATATATATATTTAAAAGAGAGCGCTTTTAAAGGCAGCCGACTAGCGATTGTGCGGCACTCACTTTCCAACGACAAGTGAGCTAAGCCAATTTGTTCTTGCGTCGCCTACGGCCAAACGACGTATGATCGAGCCTCTAGTCTCGGTTTGAAAGAAGGTTTTAGAAAACGAACAGATTTTAGAAAGAAAGATTTTTGAATGGATTGGTTGAAAATATTATTTATTCAAACAAAAAAAATAAAATGATAATGTGTAAAACATTTATTTATTTATTAGCATTGAATTAAAATTTTAAAGTTAAATTTTTAATATGAAAGCATATACTGAGATATAAAAAATGGGAGGGACCACATGACAGACTTTTGATGGGTCTTCCATTTTTGTCGTAAAGGAGGCACCATAAAATGAGACTGATATGATAATTAAGAAAGACTTAAATAAAAGTTATTATCTATACTAAGAAGGATCACCTTTCGTTTCTGTCGGTGAGTAGTGTTAGACGAGCACGACTCTCCACAATAGTATGATATTGTACATTTTTAGCATAAGCTTTCATGGTTTTGCTCTAGGCTTCCTCAAAAGGTCTCACACCAACAGAGAGAGCATTCATTGTTTATAAACTGAGGATTATTTCATAAATTAGCCGATGTGTGACTTTCATCATCTAACAAGTAGCACAGTGGAACGACATAAACCACAACCAGACTTACCGTTTTGTGTGCTTGGAATCGTTTACGTGGTATTTGATTTTATTATTATTATTATTATAATTATAATTATAAAATAAAATAAAAATTGAGAAAAGCCCTGTTAATAAGAAAAAGGTGTGTCGGAGGAAGAAGGCATAATGGGCACACGTTTAGAAAATGGAAACAAAGCAGCCAGACACAGCCGCCCCATTAATGTCTCACATTTCAGTTTTCACACGTACCAATTTATTTATTTATTTATTTTTAATTTATCTTTTTAAAAGCTTCAAATAACCCTTCATGTCCTTTCTAACTTCATAATTTTGGTTTTATTTTTCAATTATCAATTTTTAATTTATAATATTTCATTTGTGAGAATAATTTTAATAATGAATTGAATAATAATAATAATAATTTTAATTAATTAAAATTTATAAAAGTATAATAATTAAATTTGAAAATAATATTTTTATAATATTGACTTTTTTTAAATTTTAATTCATAACATTTTTTTTATTAATATATTAATTTTGACATCTATGGTTTTTTTAATACTTTAAACCTAATTTAAATTTATTCTCTAACCAATAAAAATATTTAACACGTGGATTAATTATAATTACTATAATGATAATTCTCTAAGTTTAAATGGAATTAAATATTTATAATTAAAAATTCATATAATTTCATTAAAATTATTTATTTAAATATAATTATTAGGATTTATTACCAAATAAATTAAAAAATCTAAAATTTAATTTATATCAATAAAAATTAAATTATTATAGTAAAATTATTTTCTGGTAATATCTATAAAGACATTTGATTTTTAAATATTATTTCCTTAGATAATTTTTTTGATTTAAATTGTGATAAAAGGGTTTGAATCTCTAAATTAGGAAAGGAAGCTTAGCTTTTTTTTTTTTTTTTTTTTTTTTTTTTTTTTTTTTTTTTTTTTTTTTTGTCCATTTTATAATTTTATTGTATTTTTTTCGGCGGCCGCAAGTACAGAAATTTGGAACCAAAAAAACAAAATAATTTTAAATTATATTTTATATATTCTGAAATGAAAATAAAATTAATTGGGCGTTCACATTTGCATGAGAGCAAATAGTCAAACACGTGAAAGAGGCCGTTGACTATCAGAAAATTAGACATAAAAAAAAAAAAAAAGCGAGTGAAATAAATAAATAGACCTAATTAATTAATTCAAATTTATGAAACAACCAAGAAAGACATAATATGGTGTGTGAAACTTTGAATAAACTTTTTTTTTTAATTATAATGAATAATCACTCTTTAACTCTTTGATGCGACTAAAAATAATAATTTTCGAAAATATTATTTCTATTTTATTATAAAGGTGTTAAAAAAAAACCCTAATCGAGATTATTTATTTTCTAACCATTCTTAAAAATAATTTTTAAAATATTTATTGAAACTCAGTGATAAATCTTAATTAGATGTTTTAAAAATTAATCGAAAAACAAAATTTTGAATAAATTATCGGACACTGGACTAACCATTTGAGTTTTGTGTGGGCCTTTTTGAAAGTTTTGGGGTGTTCACCTAAGTTGGTTCCTTGGGTTTTGTGGCTAGCCCAATTGGGGCCTCTTTTGAATGTGATGCATCATCACTCGACTCATCTCAGTTCATCTTGTTGGTACTAGGTATCCATGTGGCCACTCGCTCATCTTGTTGGTTGGTTTGCAACTTAAGGGACTTGTCAGAGAAGTTTTTGTTTGTTTTCATGCTCGATTCTTGCATAATCAGATCTAGTCAAGTTCTAATCTCGAGATACTACCATGTCGAGAGCAACCTAGGTCAAATTCTCAATGCACGTGAGAATCCTATCAATCAAGGCAAATTCACTACTAGGATTAGTTAGTTACCCCTAATAGTCCACATCATGCATTGACAAGGATAAGGAAGTGACACCAAATCTTATCATGCTTGGAAAATCATATTAGATGACTTGGTTTGACTCAAACGTGCTCGAAATTTAATTACGTCCCATGAGTTATATCAACCAAACAAAGTTCATTGTATCGAACTACCTGAGTTTTGTAGTCGAGGTATGGTCATGACGTTGTCCTCATCCCTCGTCAAGAATCCTTGGATCTGACTCAACCAATTTTACTTGTCACACTTTAGTTGACCTTCGATTTTCTATTAGGCCAAAGAGCTAGTCTTCCTTATTCTTTATTATTTTATCATGTGGTTCTTCTAGTTCGAGCTATATTGCAGCTAATTTAGCTTGGTCGACCTCGAAAAACACGTATTGGTCAACCTCAACCATTAGGTGTTAGGTGAGTTCAAATCCTTCTAAGAAAGAGTTTACCGTCTTAAATTAAAAAAAGAGTAGTATATAACCATTTTAAGGTTTCGTTGACTCTTTTTTGGAACTACATTTAAAAGGGGACCCAACCCGAGATCGTATAGGATCATATAACATATATTATAACCTAAGATTCTTATATTAATATTTTTGTGACATCAAATTTTATGTTTCTCAAATGAATTTTAAATTAGATGACACTTAGATTCCTTTGCGTGCACTCTTCCTTCCATAATTTGCACCAAAATTAAGTAGCTAATTCATAGCATGATTAATTTAAAAATTGTGAAATAGGCATTAAGATTTCAACTTATTTATTTTAAAATAGTCCGCTTTCCCTTTCTTTCGGGGCTTCTCCTCAGTTTCCACACCCTTGTAAGTGGTGTCTCGTTCTCTTCCTCAACTAATGTGGGATTCTAGGATCTCACGGGCTTCCCCTTGGTTTCCACACTCTTATAAATGGTGTCTTGTTTTCTTCCCTAACTAATATAGGATTATGGGATCTCACAATCTACTCTTTTTAGGGCTCAGCGTCCTCATTGACACTCGTTTCTTTCTCTAATCGATGTGGGACCCCGCCAAATTCAACCTCCTTTGGGGTCCAGTGCCCAACGTCCTTACTAGCACACCACCTTCAAGTTTTTTAAAACGCGTTTGCTAGAGAAAGGTTTCCACACCCTTATAAAAGGATGTTTCGTTCTCCTCCCCACCTAATGTGGGATTGTGAGATCTCACAATTCACCCCCTTTCAGGGTCTAACGTCTTGGTGGCACTCGTTCCTTTCTCTAATTGATGTGGGACCCCCATCAAATCCACCTTCCTTCAGGACCTAGCGTCCTTACTCGCATACCGCCTCATGTCTACTCCACTTAGGGGGAACAACATCCTCACTAACACATCTCTCGGTGTCTGACTCTGATATCTTTTGTAACAGTCCAAGCTCCACCACTCGATTTTCCTCAAGATTTTTAAAACGTGTCTAGTAGGGAAAAAGTTTCCACATATTTATAAATGAGGTTTAGTTCTCCTCTCTAACCAATATAAGATTGTGGGATCTAACATAAACAAACAAACTTAACAAATAAGTAAAGATTTTCGATTTTTACCGATTTTTTGCCGATTTATAGGATTGGGGTTTGACTTGTAAATGGTGAAGAAATTTACAGAGAAGCCGAACAGTCAAAAGTCCTTCGAAAACATGATGGAGGCCGTACGCGTATTGACAGCAACCGCCGCCATGTTCAGCCACCCACTCTGTTTCTTCCTCTGTCCCAATAACTACTGTCGGAAGTCAATGTTTGGTTATAACTCAGACTTCTTCTTCTTTTTCTTCCAATTAAACAATTCATTAGTGCCTCTCCCACCGCTTCTCTTTCTTTTCTTTTCTATTTTTCGGTCAAAACTTGGAATTCAAAACTCTGCAAAAGCCTTTGAAAACATCAGCCCCCAAAACCCACCGAACATTTTCAGTTTTTTTCTCCATCCGACCCTTGAATCGCCTTCTTCTTCATCGGAGCAATGTCTTTCAACGTCAACCGGTTCGATCCTCAGTCCGCGGCGGAGAAAGCGGTTTCGGTCATCGGATTTGGGTTCGATCTCTGTAACGATTTGCGATTATCGTCTTGCAAGCCGGGTCCATCCGGGTCGAAATTAATCGACATCGATTTGACACGAACCAAGGACCTCGTACTCCCTGCCGGTGTTGTCGTCCCTAATGTCTCGAATTCGATCAAGTGCGATAAAGGCGAGCGTACTAGGTTCCGGTCGGATGTCATCTCCTTCAACCAGGTCAAGTTCAAAACCGATTTTTAGCGTTTTTAGCTTGGAATTCTCATTTTTTTCATCTGGGTCAGTTTAATTTCATTTAAATTTGCTATCTTGGCTTGATAATCCAACTGGGTTTATGTTTTTTTGGGTGGAAAACAGATGTCGGAGCTGTTTAATCAGCAATTGTCTTTGTCGGGGAAAATTCCGTCGGCGTTTTTCAACAGTATGTTTGGATTAAAGGGCTGCTGGCAGAACGATGCAGGTTCCTCCAAAAGTCTTGGATTTGATGGCTGTTTCATTACTCTGTATAACATTGAGTTGGAAAGATCTCATATAACTCTCTCTGAGCAAGTCAAACGGGAGGTGCCTTCTTCATGGGACCCTGCTGCGCTTGCTAAGTATGTTCCTTTTTTGGTTTTTTTTTTCTTTGTTTGTCTGTCTGAAGTGGAATATCTGCACTGATTTTTTCTGAAGTTCTTTGTGGTAATCTTTTGTCGTTGATAGAGTGATAATTGTTGATACCTCAGAATGATTTAAGGACAAAATGATCACGTTTGGGACACCATATGTAAAATATACTTCTTCGGGAGATCTACTTTGACATATTTGAGTAATGATATGATCTAGTTAGGCAGGTATGAGATCTTACATCAGTTGGAGAGGGAAACGAAACATTTTTTATAATGATGTGAAAACCTTTCCCTAATAGAAGTGTTTTAAAGCTGTGAGGTTGACGGCGATACGTAACGGGCCTAAGCGGACAATTTCGGTTAGCGGTGGGCTTGGATCGTTACTAATGATATCAGGCCAAACACCAGGGGGTGTGTTACCCTCAAGAGGGTTGGATTGTGAGATCTCATCTCAGTTGTAGAAGGGAACAAAACATTTCTTATAGGGGTGTGGAAACCTCTCCCTAGCAAGCGCGTTTTAAAACCCGTGAGGCTGATGACGATACGTAAACGGCCAAAGTGGACAATATCTGCTAGCAGTGGGCTTGAACCGTTAGAAATGGTATCAAAGACAGACACCGGGCGGTGTGCCAGCGATGACGCTGGCCCCCAAGTGGGTGGATTGTGAAATCCTACGTTCGTTGGAGAGGGGAACGAAATATTCCTTATAAGGGTGTGGAAACCTCTCCCTAACAAACGTGTTTTAAAAATCGTAAGGCTGACAGCGATACATAATGGGCAAAAACGGAGAATATCTGTTAGCAGTGCGCTTGAGCTGTTACATAAGCCTTTGTGGTTTTGCTTTTGGTTTCCCAAAAAAGATTTCATAGCAACGGAGAAGGTTGCTCACGCTCATATACCCTTGATCTTTCCCTTGTTTAGCCCGTGCGAGACTTAGTTTGTATTTCCAACGTCATTAGACAAATGTTAGCGCATTTGACATGTTACATCTGATTTTGTTTCTGCCAACTGATACTAACTTGATTTTAGGTTCATTGAGAACTATGGTACTCATGTGGTTGTGGGTGTAAAAATGGGAGGAAAAGATGTCATTTTTATGAGGCAATTACGAGAATCCAACATAGAACAAACTGAAGTGCAGAAGAAGTTGAAGCAATTAGCAGATGAAAGATTTTCTGAAGATGCAAATGGAGGCTTCATGTCAAATTCTGCTGCTGCAAAAATTAAGGTACATACTCAAGAACATTAATCGCTATCACCATTCCATAGATTCACGTTCTTTCCTTGAAACTTGTTATATTTTTTTTCGTATTGGTAAGGTCGATATACCAGTTGTCTTTGAACATGTTTGGAAGTAATTTTAAAACGGCCAAAATCACTTGTCATACCTGATTATATCGATAATTAGGATCTTACGTTTCAATTTTCAGGACGAATATTCTATGCCATGGCAGCTTCGTCATGCATTTGCTGCCTCTATCAAACCGCCAATTATCACTCACTCAAAGGGTGATGTAAGTGTCTCGAGATCTAGTTATTCATTGTTCGAGTAGAATACTACCTATTAAACAAGAACTGACTTATTTAATTGAATGGATGCAGGAGTTGATGACAATTTATGTTAGGAGGGGAGGCGTTGATGTTGGTCAAAGTCATAATCAATGGCTCTCGACCGTATCTCAATCGCCGAATGTTATTTTGATGTCCTTCGTGCCAATAACATCGCTCATGAATGGCGTCCGAGGCAATGGATTTCTAAGCCATGCGGTGAACCTGTACCTAAGATGCAAGTATCCCAGTCTTGCTGTTAACTTTTGTCTATCTATGGCCAATGGCCTATTTTTCAATGGTCTTGGGTAATTTTTGTCCTAAAAACTTCGCCTGTACCTGTAATAAGAAACTGAAATATGGAGATCAGCATTGCCTTAGTACTTGAGAAGCCATTAAAATGTTGACACCAGATTCAAGCCAGCAAGAGTTCTAATTCACATTGAATTTACCATTAGTGATAGATTTTGATCATTGAAAATTTGTGCAGATAAACCTCCAATTGAGGAGCTTCAGCAGTTTCTGGAATTTCAGCTGCCTCGACAATGGGCACCGGTGTACGCCGATCTTCCTCTTGCTACTCGGCATAGGAAACAAGCCTCTCCATCTCTGAAGTTCACTTTGATGGGCCCCAAGCTGTATGTAAATACTACTAAGGTAATCTTCTGACTTGAAGACGGATTTGTCAAAATGGCGATGCCGAGATTGAACACGTGATAATCACAATTTTGCAACTGCAGGTTGATTCGAACAGTCGTCCAGTAACGGGAGTTCGGTTGTTTCTGGAAGGAAAGAAAAGTGACCATCTTGCAATTCATCTTCAGCATCTATCAACTCTTCCCAAGACTCTCCAACTCTCAGATGATCTGAGTTATGGACCCATTGACGAGCCAGAGGAGAAGGGCTACTTCCAACCAGTTAAATGGAGCATATTTTCACATGTCTGCACTGCTCCAGTGCAGTACAATGGTTCACTAATTGATGACGACACTGCTTCTATCGTCACAAAGGCTTGGTTTGAAGTTAAGGTTATTGGAATGAGAAAGGTATTGTTCCTGAGGCTTGGGTTTTCGACGGTGGCATCAGCAATGATTCGTCGATCAGAATGGGAAGGACCTTCAACGTCATCCCGAAAATCTGGACTCATATCCACCTTTATCAGCACAAGGTTTAGTACAGGGCTGCAGCAGCCAGAAGCGCAACCAAAAATTGAATTGAACTCGGCTGTTTATCCCGATGGTCCGCCTTTGACTGTGAGAGCAATGAAAATGTTGAACATCATCGATACGAAAGAAATGGTGCGTGGCCCTGAGAACTCACCTGGATACTGGGTGGTCACTGGAGCCAAGCTTTGTGTTGAAGGTGCCCGGATCTCTATCAAAGTGAAATACTCATTGTTAACCATATTGTCAGAGGATTCTATGATCTGATAAAGAGAAAACTAAGCAGTGAGTAGACAACTATTTTTCTGATGTAAATGTGTTTTGTATATTATTCCTATATAGTCAGCCACAAAACACCATTCTTATTTCATAGTGAAACAAACAGTATTTTTAGAATGTAAATCTCTGCTGTATTAAGCATTTTTTGGAACAATTTTTTGGGGGTGAGAATTTCTGGTGCCACAGCTTTCTTTCATATCTGGTTGCCCAACTATATAGTCCCCCATTATAAATCTATGCATTTTGTGGGAATTGATACTCATCAGTTCTGTTATCCAGCATTTTCTTTTTCATGTATATTTATATGAAGTGTTATGCAACAAAAAACTTGACTTTTAACACAGTATGAATATTTCATTTGAATGCTAAAAGTTGCAACTATATACAGACTTGTTCATGAAGGAATTCACATCTAATATTGGAAAACTGATCTCCAGGCTAAGCGAAACTATCAGGATAGTCATGAAAAAAAAAGGTTCTCGAGTATAACCTAGCCCTCTTTTCTCACGGATAACCCTTTCACCTGGAAAACCATGAAGAAAGGAACATCCAAGCACCAAAAATTGGGAAGGTAACTATAGCAGACGCCTAAAAATCCATAAAAAAACATGATTAGATTATGCAAGTACGCAGAAAAACAGGCAAGAGATTCAAGATGAAGCATCGAGATTTTTGCAGCTTACCAGAAAGAAAATAACTTCCCTGTTTACAAGATATGCTGCATAGTCCCTTCTTTCCATTTCTTGTTTAATCAGTCTTTGTAACTGCAGATATGAATATTCAAACTTTATAGTCATTATGACGAAGAGATATAGCTGAGATTGGCAATGCATATTCAGCTGAAACAATTATATTCCCGTATGATATACAAATGTCAAAGATCAAGGGATGGAGGTAAAAAATTCTAAAAGAATTATACGGTGGGCCATTGGTTTCGTTCCCATGTCTTTGCAGAAGTTATTAGATTGACTTTAATCTTTCCGTTCACAAACACATACCTCATGGTGATACTTTGTGGCTTCTTCATAGACTCCTTGGAAGTATTGGATGGCTCCTGTAACCATGGAACTCAAGGTAGGCACTTTGCTGAACAGATGATAGTTCAATGTCTGTAGGGCCTTCTGAAGTTGATTGATAAAACGTGTGTTGACCAACTATAAACAAAATTAAACATTTGATAAAGCTTACAAGTGAAATTATTTGGAAAAAATCTAAAATGGTTAACGTTATTTGATTCTAACATTGGCTATAACTTATAGTGCAGCACTCTATGAAGGTGCAGCCAACAAATAATGCACGGGTGAGCCAGAGTGAATGACAAGAAAATGTTCGACCAGGCTTGTCAAAAAATTACCTTTAAAAAGGTGCATCTGGTTAGGGCAACTTGCTGGCGGACCTTCAAAGCATTTATCTAGTCACACGCCAATAAAGTTAGTTTATACACCAGCACAACAGCTCAACAATAAAATTTTCAATCATTGATCCCACTCCCGTAACACATACTTTTGTTATTTCAAGGGCCTGCTCTAGATGCCGAATATGAATCCACTGTTCAGATACTATGCTAGACATCTGGAAAATAAAATGGTCACAAAGTAAGCACACTAACAAAGGAATGTTTGCATAAAGAGACATTTTATCCATGGATATAAGTTGATTGAGGAGAAGATATGTTAATTATAAAGAGAAATGAACTCATTCTCAATCAGAGTCCAGAACATTTACAAGTGCATCCCCCGCATTTCTTCCGTTAGGTAAATCGTGAACTAATGGTAGGAAAACATGAAAAACTTCAAAAATGTAGGATGTCGAAGGATTTCTCATTTTTTATTGTCTTCAATTTAAGAAGCATGCATTCAAATTGACACGTTATTTTTTAAAATTTAGCACACGGACATGGCAAGGACAAGTCATTTCTACACAAAGAAATTCAAAGTTCACAAATTTATATGCTGAAAAATATGAGTTTGATGTATTTCACTCTCAAACTATAGAGTATAGTTAACAAGAGTTTGATACGTGTCTAATAAATGTTGACCTATATTGGCTTTGTAAAACTAGTGTCTAATACATCTTTTGTGCTAATAAGTGTCTAAGATGTATCCAAAAAAGTGTTAGGAGTGTCCAAGTGCCAACTCGTATCAGACAAGGACACGCTAGGCAAACGAAAGTGTCTGGCTAAATCTACAATTATCATTGCATGACAAGGGAATCTACTAGATACCACAGTGTATAGGCCAAAAAAAAAAAAAAATTATATATATTGTGTCACATAAACATGGAACATAATAATAAAATATTTGTCTTAGTTTTATACATTTTCCATGACAAATATGTGAGCATGTTGCGCGAAACATTCAAACGATGTCTGCTATGAAAAGTAAAAAAACCCCTAGTCTAAATTTATACCTTCTCAACTTGTGAGGTAACCTCTTCAAGTTTTTCCTCAGCTTCATGTACCTTGACTTCCAAAAGATGAATATCAAAGTTGTTCTTTCTTAATACAGCCCAGAGAAGTCGTACCTAACATGCCCAAGCCAACTACACGGATCAATTGAACCTTTGAAAGTAACTCAACAAAATTTACCAGATAACTGTTTCCTGGACCAGAAAATCTCCCGATGCAACTTTTCAAATAAAAAAATTAAATAGGAAAAAGTAGAAAGAAACCTCATCCTCCAGAGAAGCAATCCTTTCATCGTGACTTAATGTTTTCCTCTGCAAAATAACTAAACTAATATCAGTCTCAATACTAAATTTCGACATTTCCTCAAAGAATTAAAGATTCAGGTGATGTCTGACTGTAAATTTTCTCCCTATTGACAAGCAATTGTTGAAACAGAAAACTTAACCTATAATCAGACAATATTTTGCAATCATTTAGTAAATTCGGACGTGTGAATGGCTAATAGCCCACTCCAAAGTCTGTAATTGAACACATCAAACATATTCTGATGTACGAAAAATATCAAAAAACAAGAGACAGAATGAATCTCTGAAAATGCACAGATGAAGCAACACTTTCTTGATTATAATGCACGAATCAAACCTTCATATCAAATAGAGCAGACTCCAAGTATTGAATCTTATGAGACATAGCCTCAATTAACCTTTCCTGCGCCAAAATTTCATTGCCTTTCTCGGTTAAATTTTGCTTGCTTCCCTCCAGAACGGATTCTGCATTCGATTTTATTAAGTAAAAGATAGCGACACCACAGAAAACTTACGTAATAAATGCAACGCCTAAAGTCTAGATTGACAGACACTAGAATTAGCTAAATCATATGAAGAATTAAAAACCTCTCAATGTCATGTGAAATGAAAACAGTAAACAATATGCACCTAAGCGAGAGATCCTGAGCTTGATTTCCAGCAAATCATCGATCAACACATCGTTACTTGAACGAGCGAACGAAGCGATTTCGCAAACAGCGAAGAGAGGTAAGAATAAGGCGGGAAAGAGATACAAGATCTTAATGGGATGAGCCGCCATTTATGCAGAGCTTTCACACAAAAACTCTTCTGCAACGTCGAGCCACCCTGCAAATCATTTCCTCTATAAATAATAATAATAATAATAATAATCAATATTAATTATTTATTTTTTATAAATGTTATTAAAATTATAATTTTTTATGTAATATTATTATTTTAAAATTTTGTTTTTTAAATAATCTTTGATTAATAAATAAAGTTTTTTTAATAAATTTTTTAATTAAAAGTTATGAAATTTAAATTAGAAAAATATTAAATTATAATACTATCTCAAAGCCAGAGCTGGTACTAAAGGGTATGCCTAAACTTAGTAATGTCAATAGATCGGTAAATTCTCAAATATCTAACAAAGACTCAAAAGAGAAAGAAGTCGAATCTCGATTAAGAATAGACGTACTTTATTTGAGAAGAGACGTTGGACGATGAAAATCTTAATGATGATGATGTATAAGAAGCCTTTTTGGGAGCCCAACCCGAAGCTAGCTCGAGTTTGATTACTAAACCCATCAATCTCTCACTTCACTTGAACCAAACGCCGTTCAAGAGTTCAAATCCGTGCCGTCCTCGTCTGCGACTACATTTTAGTCTGCTCTCCGTCGACAGGTACGCCCCATTCTTTATTGAAAATTGGTATATGGAATGTACAAAATAGTAGATGAAATCTGGGGGAGGATTCTTTTTCAGATTGTTCACTAGGTACTGTGGATGAAGAAAATAGATTCTGACTCTAGTTTCTGTGTGGCCGATTTGGACCATTCCTTACTCCGATTGTTATGTGGGGCTTATGCTGTAATGGGAAAGTGTGCGAGGATTCAAGAATACTTTAAGCTAAGTTGTCAAAATCTTACAGAAATAGATAATTTACCTGGCTTAAGTTTGCTGTTTATAATAGTGGTAGATGACCAATAGATTAACAAAGCAAAGCCAGAAACAAACAACCCAAGGGCAAAATACATCAGTTGGGGCCAAGGACAAAGGTAGAGGCATTTGATTGTATTTAAAGGTATTAATCCTCCCAAGTGCAGCAAATCAAGGAAAGAACCCACTTGTTTGCGGGTTGAAAGTGTAACAGCCCAACCCGGAATATATTGTTCTTTTTGGGCTTTTCGTTCTAGGCTTTCTCTCAAAAGTTTTAAAACTCGTATACTAGGGAGAGGTTTTCACATCTTTACGAGAAATGATTCGTCCTTCTCTCCAACCAATGTAGGATCTCACAATCCACCCCTTAGGACGACCCACCGTCCTCGTTGGCACACCACCCAGTGGCTCTGATATCATTTGTAACAGCCTAAGCCCATCACTAGCCGACTTCCAATGTTGAGAGAAAAATAGGGAGATGGAAATTGGGACGAAATCAATTAAAGCTTACGTTAGAAAATACTAGAAGGCTCAAATGCTTCACTTGGACCATTGCTATGCCAAGATAAAGTCCGACCCTTTGAATTATGTAAAGAAGTGAAGCTAACATATCAATGTCTGTATTAGAAAATGTTCTTTAGAAGTGAAAACCAAGACAGGTAGACTCACTCAACAGTGAAATGATCGGTTAGTCTTTGGCAGGCTAATATGACTTCTGAGATATTGGCAGTGGAAAGACACCCCCTGTGCTTTTAATTCAATAGAACATTCATATCTAGTGTCAAAAAGTGCGAGTTTCCATCCAGTTATTATGAGAACTAAAGAAATTT